TGGATATGTAATACAGTAGTTTAGATTTAACAGTTCTTGACAGATGACTACAATGTAATTATGCAGATTAAAATTCGTGCCACAGTACTGCACGTTAACAACGGCTATCGACTGGCGCCGAAACAGCCCATTCCGTTATCTGAACGTTATTGGAAAATTACTGAAGTAAAGCAAACTCAGAGTTAAAAACTGAGATTAGAAATATATTTTGTAATTTCACATCGTATTGAAGAGCACTGCGATCAGTTGTTTCCATAATAACGAAAAGGCAGAATGCGACTTTGTCTATTAACTCCTTTACCCAGCAGGCTGCAACCGGAGCTAACACGGATTTATCCAGCTGCGACCAAGACAAGAAAGGGCTACGAGGCCATTCGACTGGTGGAGCAAAACACTTCTTAACGTTGTAGACTAACCAACAATTTTTCGGTCGCAGAATTAAGAATTCACGTAAATTGAAAACTCTTGCATCTCAGTATGGACATGTATTTATATATAAGCACATTTACAGTAATTGTTATTCGACTGAGCGTCAACTTGCGGCCTTCTAATCTTCTGAACCTTCCCTGGGAAAATGGCTGTCATCTTTGACTGGACTCTAAAGCAGAAAAATAAAATTTTAACCTCGGCATATCGATAGCCATTACTGTGTGATTTTCTCATCCATTCTATGATGAAAATCATTGTTCTGTATTGAAACTATTTCGGTGCCAATGGCAAAGAACGTCGAATTCCATTAAAGGCGGTATCAACAGTTAGACGGTTGGTAGATGGTTCAGTGTCCAGTTTCCCACACAAACAGAATGATGTTTATTTATCTTAAGAAAAGAAGGACGAACCATCCCGCTTGAATTCAGACCCGGGAATTTCCGTTTAGAGAACATAATTGCCGTCTGAAAGACGGACTGACTACAGAAAATTAAATAATCAGTCGACCGAAGATTCAGAGATTTTATTTTTAGTGATTGTGGTGATCGCTGAAAAGAGCCGTTAGACAGGTATTTAAATATATACAAACATCTATCAATCAGAAGTATGGATGATCATGCAAAAATACGTTGTAGGTTATTTGTCTCGTTTTATAACACTGAGAAGACATCAGAAGACAAGGCTTACCTTCTGCTTGACATGAAAAATCTCTGGAAAACCACTGACTCGAAATTTGGCAGACATTTCCGCAGGCCTAAAATTGCAAAATGTATAAACAATTGGACTGTCTGCATAAATTTTAAAGAACATAACCTAATCTCCGCTGTCCAAAACATTCAAAAATTTAAAATAATGGCATCAAGCAGTAGTTAATCCTCTACAAATCAGGCAAGCTCAGAGAGCTAAATTAAAAGGAGTGACGAGGCCTACTATAAAATTTACTCTGCCCACAGAAGTCTTGCCTTCAGTCATGTGGTTGTGGGAAGGACGCCCGTTAAATCACATGTCCAAATTATCGTAAATGTGCTTCTCGGTCAAAAGAATTGGCAATTCTGAAATGAGGGTACCTTAGTTTGATGTGCTTCGAGGATTACCACGCTTAGGCTGAGGCTTATGCAATCATTCACAATGACCCATTTCCATTGCCAGCATTTTCAATCCTATTCCTTCGACAAGTATCCAGCATTATACAGGCAATTGCTACATAAAATTTGTATTTTATAATTTTACACCATAATGAACAGATCTATATGCCAAACGAGCAGTTTAAGTTAATGACATATTCTACCGTTTTGCACAATCCTTTTTAAATCGCTTGTTTCGGCACTTGGCCTCGTTACAGAACCGAACCTTCTCATAAGCTTTAAGACCAATCTCTTGCCGTAAGGTTAGAACGTCTTCCATTGGCATTTCGGACAGCTCGTTGTTGATCGACTGAAAAATTGAACAGGATTTTTCATACTTAAAATACGCACGTATGCTAAGAGCAAATACCAAAATCAAAAACAATGTTACTATTTTCGAGTGGAAAGAAGCAAGACTGTCATTGCATCAATAACTGAACCTCTGATTCTGAACCTCTAAAACTGAATTTCTTTTTACAAGCTAGGATGGAATAAGATGTAGAGGTCAAAAACGTGGATGATGCCTTCAAACATCTGCCACTGTCACATCATGATCAATTTAACTGTTTATACTATATTTAATCGTAAACAAAAAAGTCGATATAATAATCTTTAAAACATGATAAAGACGACACACAACTCGTCATACAACTTCTATAGATTAATGGAGAAATTCCAACTAGAAATTTTCTCGTTCATAGGACTGCTTTGAGGCAGACTACTGCCAGTCTCGAAACCAGTCACGTGGCTTTAGGGCTTTAAAATCACATGCAAGTGCTATGAAGAATCTCAACCCCCCCCGACTCGGTCGCATGAACCCCGTTTCTCTTAGCCCATGTGAACGTTTAATCAGGTCATTGATTCTTGGTTCTTATCACTTGAAGCTAATGGGCGAGAACCGCACGACTTTGTTGCATCGAATAATAACTTGTTCGAACAATAATGGATCACCTCGGTCCGTAAGAATATATGATTAAAATTAACACCAGTACTACCGATTTACTAGCAAACTGCCAGTGTCGATGCCGCTGGCAAGAATAAAAACTGTCACTTCTCCGGATTCCTCCAGCGTAATCGTATTATATAAGTAAACGGATCAATGTCGAACAGACTATTGTGCGACCCAACAGTGGCAGGGTTTTGCGTCCATGCACTGGGGGTCGAGTCCATGCCAAGGAGGTGACCTGTTCAAATTAACCCACAGGCTATTAGAAACAAGGAGGAGGTGCCACTACGCAGAAGTAACTACAGACTGGATATTGTTATTTTTTCCACAGGTATCAAAACTAGCAGTTTGCTGGTAAACAAGTAATTGCGGGTTTTATTTTATGCTAAGAAAAAATAGTCAGTACATATTCTGAGCCAAACCACTTCAAAATGCGCTTTCTAGTCGATTGTGACTGGGCTC